GGTTTTGTGTCATCTCAGTGCCACCCCCGCGTCTTGCACCTGCTGCTCGCATGGTCTGCGCTCCCGCTGAGGTGGCGGAGGTCAAGGGGCAGAGAGCTGGGCAGATGGGCCAGGGGAGGCCTGGATAGTGTTTCCTCGTGAGCAGATGAGGGGGTAGCTGCTCCTAGGACTCCCTGCCGCTGGTTCCCAAGGCCGGGGCTCCTTGCAGGGCCTGGTGTTGAGGGCCAGTCCAGCCTGGATATGTTCTTTGAGGCATCCCCAGGCTGCCTGGGGACTGGGAGCAACTAGACTCAGCTGTTCCTGTGCCCCAGGAAAGCCTGCTTTCGGAAGGTGGGCTGAGCATTGTCCCAGCTTTGGGCACAGACCCCTCCTAGCCCTGTAGCCCAGTCTGGCCAGAAATGGGTAGGGAGCAGTACCCCGCCCCCGCCCCCCCCCCACCCAGGGTGCCTAGAGTCCCAGGGTCGGGCTGGCTTCCTGGCCTGCCTCCTGGCTGTATTTACTGTGGTGTTTCCCTTCTTCCCAGCAGTCAGGTCCAGGCTGATGTGAAACCCCCTGAGCTGCTGAGGAAGTGAGGAGCAGTGACCTGAGAGGCTGCTACCTTCTGATGTGGGAGGACACAGCCAGTGACAGGGCTCAGCAGCCGGCCTGGGGAAGGAAGCCCTGGCTCTTGTCCATCTTCTTTTTAAAAAAGGATCTATCTCCCTGGGAGACCTCTGGGCAGGCTCAGTGTGTCTGTGAACTCCAGGGGGACTAAGGGCACAATTAAGTGTGAGAGTGTGAAGTGCTGTTTCGTGGGCCCATAACTTCCAGCCACCCTTTGGATGGGCCCAAGACCCCAACAGGCTGAGAACCACAGACACTCTGGTGGTTCTCATGGGTCCAAGCTAGAGTCTTGGGTGACTGTGGATGCCTGGCAGAGGCAGGGTACTCTGTGGGTGGTTGTGACCTGCGACTCCTGTCAGGGCATGTCACAGTCTGGAGGGCCCTGAAGAAGCTGTCGGGGCTGATGTATCCTTACCCTAATGAGCCGGAAGCTGTGATCTTCCCCCAGCCACATGCTGGTCTGGGGATGGAAGGGCTAAGAGGAGAGCTTGCCCTGTCTGTCTGTCCCAGGCTGTTCTGTACCTCTGGGGGGCCAGCGTAGCATGGGGGTAAGGGTGGAGGGCCCAGAAGGATCGGGAGGAGGGTGCTTAGCAGACACTCATCCTATCCGCTCACTCTGTGACCCATGGCAAGACTTTCCTCACTCTGGGCCTCAGTTTGAAGCCTCTGGATGCCGAATGGGTTCAGGGAGGAGTGGTGTGTATCTAATGTCTTGGACTGCTCGGTTCCTATCTGCAGTCATTGTCCCCCAGAGGCCTTGGTGCGCCAGGTACCTCCTTTTCCCCTGATCCAGGATCCAGGTCAGGAAGAGGCAGGTGGTGAGGTAGGCAGGGTGCTGACAAGGTCTTACCCATCACCCTACCCCAGCACCTGGCATGGTGTCTGGCACATGGCAGGCAGTCCCTGGGTGTTTGGGTGCTTGTCAGGACCCCAGTTGGCTCCTTGGGGCTACCCCAGTCCCCCACCGAATGATGCGAGGCGTGGCATACTCAGTGTGGAAACTGTACCACCAGGTACGAGGCTTGAGGGTAATCAACAGTTGGGACCCCATTGGCGTCTGCCTCCTACCCGGTCATAGGTTCCTCTGGCTGTGAAAGGGCTTCCAGCCCTGGGAGTGGGGCTGTGGCTTTTTGTGGTTGATTAATGTGGGGAGGCCGTGGAGGTGAAAGGTGAAGTACAGGCGACCCCGGAGGTCCTCGTGCTCCCCCTGTTTCCAGGCCTGGGCATACAGGTGACAGGTGTATTTTGTAAGGCGGCTGGACATGCCATGGCTGCTGTGGCAGCTGGTGCCCCCTCATCAGGTGCCGTATGTGTACCTGCCTGCCATGGGAGTCCAAGGGAGGGGCAGTTGTCAAGGAACCCTGGAGAATGTGTTCTCCCGCCTTCCTTCCCCTCCACTCGCTCTGCCACACAGTCCCGGCCCAGCCCAAGGGCCTGCTCCTCATCCCATGGGTCTCCATCTCAACTTTCCCACCTTGGCAGCCCAGGTCACAGGAGTGAAGACCTCAGGGTGCCTGTCCTGCAGGCACTTGGGTGAGCAAGAATGGCTACTGGCTAGGGACATTTGGAAACCTGCAGGCTCATTTGTTTCTTCATAATGCAGATTGTGGAGTGGGCTGAATGGGGGGGCTTTCTTCCTCTTTTATTGAGGTTTAACTTACGTACAGCAAAGTTCCTGCACCTTACTGTTTAGCCTGGTGAGTTTTTACAGTCTGTATACCTGTGTAACTGCCATTCCAGTCAAGAGTTCTGCATTTCTGTCACTCTCTGGGCCTTTCTTCTGCCCCCTCCCAGTCAACACCCCCCGCCATCCTGACCTTTATCCCCATGGATTAGTCTAGCTTGCTTTCAGGATGGTGGGCTTCTCCCTCTTTTCTAGTGAGGCTCTGCTCAGGAGACCCTGGCCTTTATAGCAGACCTTACTGGCCCTGGAGGCCCGCAATGGATTTGGGTGGTGACATGAATTCACCTTAGTAGAGGCCTCCATGGGTAACGTTATCCCAGGATCCCTCCTACCACTTGCCCACACGTTCCAGACCCCCTGTCCTGAGGCAGAAGCCCAGGGGGAAGGTTGGCAGGATGCTAAGGAGGTCACCACATCTCTCAAACCTTATGTTCCCTGGGGGCGCCTGGCTAGCTCAGTCAGTAGAGCATGTGACTCTTGATGTGGTGAGTTCAAGCCCCACTCTGGGCCTTTGGGCATGAAGCCTACTAAAAACAAAACAAAACACCTTATGTCCCTGTCCTTTCTACCCCAGGTTTGATCTAGGGAGCCTCTTGGGGGCAAGGGTCCCTTAACCATTTGACTTAAAGAAACGCTTCTGGCCTGAGGAACTGGCCTAAGTCGGGCTTAGGGGCTCTGGCTTGGGTAGGCCCAAGGCCCCTTGGGCATGTAAGTAGATAGTAGGGTTAGGGTGGGCTTGTCATCTGTGTAATCAAGAACTGAGCTGGCACCAGTGTGTTGCCTGTTCAGCCTTCCTGTTTCAGGTCACTGTGGAGGAGAGGTAGGACCCCTCCCCCAGGCTGGGAAAATACTGAGCAAAGCCTGGGACCCTGTTCCCCAAATTCTAATCTCTTGGTCCCTGCCATATTCAGAGGCTCACCATGTCTGGCCGGGCTCTGGATAACTGTGCAGTCCTCTGAGGCCTGGCTTCTCCAGTAGGACCGTGGGCCTGGGGTGGAGACCTCAGGGCGTCCCATTTATGATCCTGGCCTGGGCGGCTCCCCACTTACAGGAAACCCCACCATTTCAACAAGAGGAATTTAGGCTGCGTCATTTCCAGCTTCCTGCTTGAGCTGCCGGAGGTGGCTGGACGGCAGACCCCTCACCCAGTGGTGCTTGGGAGTGGGGGGAGGGAGCTTTCCATGTGCCTCACTGGGGTCCCTCCCTGTTTGGGTAAAGCCAATAGAGTGTCCTAGGGCTCCCCCTCTTGGCACAGGCGGTAGGTCCCTTCCTCATGGGCCCCTGGGATCAGCTCCCAGAAAGGTGTATGGCAGGCACCTTGTTGCCCTGTGTTTTGGGGGAATGCCTAAAGAAGCCCAGACCCAAAGAGCTGAACCCCCTCTTTTGCTTCTCGTTTCTTCCTGTCCCCATGGAGGGGATACTTGCTATAGGCAGAACTCAGGCTGCACCTTGACTCAGTCTCCTTACAATTCCCCTGGGAACTTTCATGGAAGTCTTTGAGGGGAAGGGTCTGAGAATCGCCTCCTAGTTGGAGAGGCTCTCATTACGCCAAGCCTGTCCCTCCCCTGGGGGGCTCACTTCTGGACTCCCTGAGCACTGCCAGGCAAGGCAGAGAGCCAGTCCCCCCCCCCCCCCCCCGCCCACAGGGCTCCCTGAGACTGGGGCAGGGGGCCTGGGCAGAGCACAGTGTCCTGGGAGAGAGGCTCCCTGCCCCCACTCTCTGGAGGCACACAATGGCTGCTTTCTCCCCCATGACCTTTCCAAAGCCTGAGCTGTATACAGCTGTCTCCTCCCCATCTCCCAAGGGGCCCAGGATGGGTGGCATCTCCCCTGCCCTTGTAAAGGACCCCAGGAGCTCCCACCCTGTCCCGGCCCCTCCTTCTTGTCTCCAAAGTTTGCTTCTCCCCAAGGAGTAGAGTGGCTTCCAGGGCCCTTGCCCACTTGGGGCTTCCCCCTTAGGGGCAAGAGCAGAGGGAGAGCAGTGGGTATGACCATGGGTCCACATCCCAGCAATCCCGTTCATTAGCTGTGTGACCTTGAGCAAGCGCTCTAACCTCTCTGAGCCACTGTTTCTCATTGTAAAGCAAGGACACCATTTCCTGCCTTACCTGACAGGGGTGAGAGACATCGTGCGTACCGGTCCAGCTTGTACACAGTGGGCACCCAGCGTTAGTTCCTTTGCCCTCCCCGGCCCTATTTAGGAGGGGCTACAGCTCAGCCCATCAGTGATGCTGGCAGGGGGCTCAGCATGAAGAGGCCTCTTCCCTGCCAAGATAAGGGCGGAGGCAGGACCCCGTGGAAGGGCCCAGGGGTCCTACAGAAGCCTGGGTGCAGGAGGGATGTGGCACAGCCCAGACACAGGAGTGGTGCCTAGGGCTGTCCGGCAGGTGACAACAGACTTGCATCCGCTCGGGGACTCCTGCCTCCGTGGGGAAGGGCTGGGCCGGCTGTCTTGTTCCCTGGGAAAGGCTGCAGGACAGGAAGACATGCCTGCTGCGTCCCACCCCCCCAGACAGGCAGCTGTCAGTCACCTGCTGTGCGCCTTCGGGGAGATCCCTCCTACACCCTAACTCAGCTTCCTCATCGGTGACCCGTGTGTCCTGATGGTCCCAGCTCCTGGGGCTTTGGGAAGCTGAGTGAGGGACTGTGTCAGCCTAGTGTGGGCCCAGAGCAGGTGCCCAGGACACAGTGGCCCTGACTGGGCCTTGGCTGACCCCCTGCTCCCACCCCGGCAGACCCCGGCTGGGCCTCCATCAGCAGGGGGGTGCTGGTATGTGACGAGTGCTGCAGCGTGCATCGGAGCCTGGGCCGCCACATTTCCATCGTCAAGCACCTTCGCCACAGCGCCTGGCCCCCCACGCTGCTGCAGGTACGCGGCTGGGCCAGGCGGGTCCTCGGGAGGCACGGAGTGGGCTGAGCAGAGACATGTTCCCCCCCGCCCCCCGCACACACACCGCCCTGGATTTGGCAGCACCCCCCCTCCTGGGGCAGAACCCAGCTCTGACCCTTTCCACCCGTTCTTGCTCGCCATGCAGACAGGCCGGGGCCCTCTCCCCAGCTCTGCCGCTCACTAGCTTGGCCGCGGAGCGCAGAGCGGGTCACTTCACTTCTCTGAGCCTTGGCACGCTTGCCGTGCGGCCTGAAGTGCTACACGGGACCCAGGTGCCCGGGCGGCCCAGCTGGGTGGAGGTGCGATGGCGGCAGGCGCGGCAGGGCTCTGGGCCCCGTCTCCAGCCACGCGGGCTGTGGCCGGCGCGGCAGTGATCCCCCAGGAGCCAGTGCGCGGTGGGCACTCTGGCTTGGCGCCTCTTCCCTGCAGATGGTGCACACGCTCGCCAGCAACGGGGCCAACTCCATCTGGGAGCACTCCCTGCTGGACCCCGCGCAAGTGCAGAGCGGCCGGCGCAAAGCCAACCCCCAAGACAAAGTCCAGTGAGTTGGGCCGGAGGGGTGGTGGCAGGGGCCGCCTGGCCTGGGACGCGGCTCCGGGAGGCGGCCGGGTGACTGGCCTCTCCCACTCTCCCCCCCACCGCGTCCCGTGTGGCCCGCCCAGCCCCATCAAGTCAGAGTTCATCAGGGCCAAGTACCAGATGCTGGCGTTTGTGCACAAGCTTCCGTGCCGGGACGATGACGGGGTCACTGCCAAAGACCTCAGCAAGGTTGGAGGGGCCCCCGCGGGGGACGGGTGGGCCTCCTGTCTTGTCACCCGCCACACCCCGAGGGCCTTCTCCTCCGTCACCACCGAGCCCTAAGCGCCAGAGGCGGTCGGGTCCGGCAGGAACAGTGGGCACAGCAGGGGGACGCGATTGCATGGTCAGGCGGCACGTGGCCAGGGCCCCTCAGCCCCTCAGGGGACACCGCAGGGCTAAAATCCCCCAGCTGCCATCCGGAGGGGTCGTTTCTTAGCCAGTCAGGGCCTCGGTTTCCTGCTCTGTAAAATGGGAAAGAAATAACAGCATCTCCCTCACAGACCAGATCTGTCTCAAGCAGAGCTCACGGCACAGGTAGATGGTGACTGATAGCAGGGCAAGTCCTCTGTCCCCCTACAACCCGACTCCAGCTGGGCCCCTTGGAGCCGCTAGGAGTCCCAGCAGCTGCCTCACTTGGTACAGCTTGGGGGGGGCCCTCACACGCACATTTGTTGCACACTCTGCTCCTTGCAGCAACTGCACTCGAGCGTGCGGACGGGCAACCTGGAGACGTGTCTGCGCCTGCTGTCCCTGGGGGCCCAGGCCAACTTCTTCCATCCAGAGAAGGGCACCACACCTCTGCATGTGGCTGCCAAGGCGGGGCAGACACTGCAGGCTGAGCTTCTTGTAGTGTATGGGGCTGATCCCGGCTCCCCTGATGTCAATGGCCGCACACCCATTGACTACGCCAGGTGAGGGTCAGATGATGGGTGAGGGTCCGGCGGGTGGGGGTGGTAGACGGCTGCTGCAGGGCTGAGGCATGCCCCCTCCCCACAGGCAGGCGGGGCACCACGAGCTGGCGGAAAGGCTAGTCGAGTGCCAGTACGAGCTCACTGACCGGTTGGCCTTCTATCTCTGTGGACGCAAGCCGGGTGAGCGGAGCTCGGGGCAGGTCCGGCTGGGCCAGGCAGGTGGGACCCAGACACACCCCAGCAGCAGGTGCCGTGGCGACAAAGCCGGCTGGGGAACAGTGTTGCTAGGCAACTGGCTCCTGTGAAATTGATGCAGGCTCTTGGCTACAGCACACTGGGATGGGGAGTGGGGAGGGGGGCTAACTTCAGGCAGCTCCCAGGGCTCTCGGGGGTGGCCTGCCCTCCGCCCTGTCCCCTGACACTTCTGGGTGCCAAGCCCTGCTCATGGTAGTGAGGTGGGCTCCGAGCTGCTGAGCCACCCCGCACCAGTGACTTGGCATTTTTATTTTTGTTCAGATCACAAGAATGGGCATTACATCATCCCACAGATGGCTGACAGGTGAGTGCCCACCTGATGCCCCTTCCCAGAGGCTGTCGGATGTCATGGGGGTGCCTGGGCCCCAGAGCCTCCAGCCCTCCCCCTCCCAGGCTTTAGGGTCCCACACCCTTCAGGGGGCCTGTCCAGTCCTCACTCCCCAATGCTGGGCCCCAGGGCAGGTGAGAAATGTCAGCTCGGCATGGGGCCAGCCCAGCCTGAGCCCCACGGCCAGCGGTTCCACACAGGCTTGAGTACCAGAAACACCCGCCCTAGGAGTGGTGGATTGCTGCCTTCTGTTTCCAGTGGCCCTCACCCCACTGTAAAATCTTTAGACAAGTGAAAAGACGGTGGGCTCCAGTAAGATGGTGGGATTTGACTAACTTTGGGACTAGTGACCAGGCCTCTGGGGGCTGGGGGGCAGGGCACAGCACAACTAAGGTGTTTCTGCCTCTGATCTGAAAAGCCTCAGGCGCCTAGGCTGGGAGGGGGACTCGCTCAGCTCACAAGGTGGATGCTAGCGCCACCTGGTGGCCACCTCTGGTGGCCAAGCTTGGCCAAGCCTTGCCCGCTGGCCTGGATGGCAGAGAGGAGGCTCCCTCCTCCTCCAGGGGCCAGTGTGGGCAGACGGGGATGGTCAGGCCTAGGCATCTCGGATCCTGGAATCCAGACCTCCTCTGTTCCGAGACTCCAGGACTCCCTCCTGCTTCTCTGGTCTTACTCGGCCTGGTGTGCGGACCTGTTTGCATGTCTGGTGTGCCTGTTACAAACACATCTGGGCGCGGGCTCAGTGAAATGGTGACCGAGCACCTTCCCAATGCCAGCGACTGTTCCTGGCCCCGAGACACGGGTGACTCAGACATGATTTCTGCCCTTAAGGAGCTTACAGTCTAGAGAGGGAGGCAACCTACTCAGACAGCTCTAGTTCAGTGGCGGGGGGAGGGGGTGCAGCGAGAGAAGTAAAGGCAGAGACGGTATAAAGGAGCAGAGCTGTGCTGGGCACTGCGGGCCATCCGTGCGACCGGAGCACAGCGTGAGGAGCAGGGAGTCCCAGGAGCAGGACTGGAGTAGAGACGGGCGAGAGGTTCTGAGTACCGATGTGTGCAGTCGGCTCTGCCATTTATTGGCTGTTGGACTTCAGGCAGGCTACTTAACCTCTCTGAGTCTTAGTTACCTCGTGGAAACGAGGGCCACGGTGCCTACCTTTTCGGGGCTGTTGAGAGGATTAAGTAAGATAACGCATGCTAAGCACGTAGCATATTTTTTAAGTGAGCTTTTGTTTGGAGTACGGCTGAAGTCTGCTGTAAGTATCTTTTGTCATTGAGCTGTCTTTAAGGCCAGGGGTAGTGGGGCCTGATGTGTCCGAAAGATCACCCTGGCTGCTAGCTGGAAACAGGGATTGTAGGGGCGAGCCCAGAAGTGGGAAGATGGATGAAGAAACTGATGCAAAGGCCCCGGGGAGGAGGGACTGATGGCAGAACGTGGGGAAACCTCCACCGGGGCTTGAGGGTGAGGGCACTTCCGGCGAGCCCCGGGAGCAGATGCTGGTGCTGGGTGAGTGGGGCTCGGAGGGAGAGAGCAAGCCAGGCTAGGAGCAGGTTGAGGGGGAAGATGAGTTCCGTCGTGTGTGCGGAGATGGGTGTGAGCTTGCCGTGGGTGCTACTGGGTAATTGCTGCCTCTGTCCTGTTCTTTCCTCTGCTGCCTCTCTCTGGACTTAGATCTCGGCAAAAGTGCATGTCTCAGAGGTATATGGTGC